AGTGACACTACCTTTAGCTTTATTGCTTTATGTATTTTTTTATTTTATTTATTTCATTTTTTATATAACTTTACATGTTAACATTAAATTATATCAAATTTTTAAAGTAGGCTGCATGTAACAAAAAATTATAGAATGCATTTTGAAATAAAATATTACAAAATACCTGACAAAAAAAAGGCAGACGAAAATGTTGTTTATTGCCTATGAGCGAATTGCACATGCACGCGTTCAAATTATCGTATATTTTTGTTTGTAAATTGTAATTGTTAATCTTTAAGTCAGAATTCAAATTGTCGCTCTTTTCGTTTTTCGTTGCTTTTCACGGTCTGTCGTTACCTCCTTTGGTTGGACAGTTTGGTCAAAGTCAAAGTATTTATTAGCATAAACATATATACATGTTTCTCGCCACCACATAATTGGCGTTTATATCAACAAAAGTAATATTAATATTGAAAAGTATGAAAACTATATAATTCATGTTTTCAATGTTCATGTTTTAACTAAAGATGGGCAGTTTTAAGTACACATAAACACATACAATACAAACATGTCATATTTAACATATCTAATAATATACAGCATAAATATGAAAAATAGTTTAAAGAAATACATATTTATTATTACAACACACTCGTTTCTCTTCTTTAAAGCCAGATAGACAAATTCCTGCCAAGTTTAATTATAACAGATCTTTTGGTTGTTGACATAAGCTTATTGAATTTATTCATATTTAGGCCCATGTGTAATAATAATAATCTAAAAGAGTTAAACGTAATTCTCTATAAAAAGGACACGTTCTATGTCCGGAGATTTATGGAAATCCCATATTTCAGATCCGTAACATAAAATTAGTAAAAGAGTTTCTAATTTATCTTCAATATCTAAATTAACATTACTCAAAAAGGGAGTTCAAAGAATAAAGAGCTTTCAAAGCTTGGGCAGACAATGATTTTTGAGCTTGATTAAAAACATCCATTAGATGATAGCGTTACTCCTAAATAAAGTAAATGTTTTAACTTGTTTAAAATTTATGTCATACTTAAGCGATATATTTGAAAGGTCTATTACCTTGTTCTAAAACTTACAACTGTTTTATCTGAAATTAACCTCAATACCCCATTTCCCTACCATAATTAAATTTATTAAAAATAAGTAGATTTGTACCTTGTTCAGAGTAAGAAAAATAACAGCAGTATCATCTGCGAGCAACAACAAAATTAAATTTGTATTCAACTTCAACTGCGTAAAAACATATACTTGTCAGCTAAGTGATCGTTGGACGTATCATAACAGTAATAAACATAATAACAACAATAGCCCGTGTAACTATTCAAAAAAGTCAGTTCAGTGAGCCATTATTAGTACCAATATTTCACCACCCTCATACATTGCTTCTTAGAATTTTAACATTTTACCTGAGAGTTTGGTGGTTTTTTGTGTCAACTTTGTGTCATCTATTTTTATTTACGTTTGCTCTTCTTTTCTATTATGAAGCTATTTAAAGTTTTTGATTAATTTTTGTTATATTAATTCTATTTCTTAGACTAAGACGTTCCTGGCCTTGCAGGCTTATCCAATCAATTTCATGTTTGTATTTAAACTCTACTGAGGAATGACCACAAATTAACCAAGGGGAACATGTTTCCGTGGGTAAATTAAAACATAAATACATTTCCAAACTTTCATGAAATGAATGATTATTGAGCGTGCTGCTTTAAATCCATAATAATGTATATTATATTAATTCCAGCCCACTATACTTATTCATATATTTTCAATAAACTACATATATAGTATTTGAAGAAAAACGTAAATATTTATACGTCAATCACAAGATAAAAATGTAGTTAGAAAAAATCGGCACATCTTCAAATCACCCTTGCAATTGATTTTATTTCCAATATTTTCCGCATTTATCCTTTTGTCAACATTGTTGACACGAGTCATCTATTAATATATATATTGGTATTATATATTTTTCTCATATTTTATTTTTCAAATATCAAATTTCTTCATATAACCACTATATGTTGAAAAAATTTAAACTATCGCCTTTTTATTTATTTACAAAATATTTCAACAATTCAAGCGTGGCACTCAGCTTTGTCGTATTTTCAATGGCGTGCGGCTATGAATGTCGAGACCCGCATATATCCCGACATGATCCGAATATAGCAAGCTGGTTCAAGCTCATTATATAAAATTCTGAGAGTCAATTTTGTTTTCAAAACAGCGTATATTACTTCATTTGATATATATAATCAAAACTATATGTTTTAGAGCATTCAACAAATACATATTTCATTGTATTTTTTAGGTGTTTGAGCTCAACTCAAGTGTTGTGACCTTTTAACGTTAAAAAAGGACTAAATTGATATGCGGGGCTGCGTTGCCCATGAATACATCGTATGGTTGTAATCAATTTTGTCTTCTTTTATTAAATGGGTAATATCATTTCCAAAAAGTTTTCAGGTATTTGGTTGTTTGTGTAATTATATTACATACGATGCGATTGCCAGTGTATCTATGTTTTAGTACTGTAGTTTATATCAAATTAGGCCAAAAGTGGCTGTATACGTACAGAGTGTTTGCATACTGGTCATGACTTGCACCCCATGCGTGTAATAAAAGTTGGAGAGTTAATAATGTGGGACTCCGTCTCACTAGGTTGTTTTCTCTTCAGAAAATATAAGTAAAATCAATTAAGATAGAACTTACCGCACCAGCAAAAATCTATCCAACAGCCATGTTTTTCCACGCTTTGCTACGAAAAATCTCCATCGCCGCACGGTAGACCACGCCTATTGCCGAAAGCTATGGCAGTTGCTGTTTACTCTCAACATAACATGATTTAAAGAATAAAAGAAATAGATAAAACTTCAATATATATGCTTCGACCCGTATTGTCTCAAGTAAACATGTCTATTCAACCGATACTTTTGCAAATCAATAGAATGAAACGTTCCATATTTAGAAATATACGACATACAAACGTCACGTTTTTTCAACAATACAAAAACAATGAATTGTTTGCATAAACTTTAACGATTTAGGTAATTTTCTCCCGCCGTTCATAATCTTTTTACTTTTTTCTCTTTCCCATACACTTAAATATTTTCATTTATTTTTATTGCTTATTTGCAACTAGCAAACTGATTTGTAAACAAATGAAAAAAGGAACAATAAACAAACAAAATCGATTACAAATAAACAAATAAACAAACAAACAAACAAACAAACAAATAAAACAAAAGTAACAAAAAAACAACAACAAACACACACACTTTTAACGTATTGCAACTGTGACTAATATAAAGAACTACGCTATATACATATATTTGAAACAAGTGACGTCACTTAAAATTTGAAGCTTATTTCTTACTCATACACATTGTATACTGACATAAATATTGGTTTAAACAATTCTAAATTTCAATAGGAAAAGTCAAAGTTGAAACGAATTCGAATAGGGTATCCAACAATTGACATGTTTATTCAGACACCGTACGGACACACTGTTATTGTGAGGACACACCATCATTGTGAGGACAAACCATCATTGTGAGGATACACTATCATTGTTGGGACACATTCTTCTTGTGAGGACAAAGTACGTTACACACATCTAACATGGCAGAGCGAGGAACCTTCCACAATGACTTCAGTGCTAAACAAGGTAAACTGCTTACATAATAAATTTTGCATATTGCTATAATTCTTGCCATGACGACAGACCAACTTTAACTTGAAGTGATTTTCTTTTGTTCTTCAAACATTGTTTTGAATTAATTTTAGCGTTTCTGTGAACGCAAGCCTCCAGATGTTGTCATACTGAGTATTTAAGAAACGTATCAGTTGTCACAATTCATGGATTATTGTCGCACAATCCATGTGACAATATAAATGTGCTATACACAATATAGCTGAATTAACTATTTTTAATTACAAATTTAATATACGCTTGAGAATTGTTTTACCCACTTGAAATTGTTTTTATGATTTCTTTGAAAAAAAAAGTATAAACCTGAAAACATGTTGCTTTTTAATATGCATTTTATACAGTGTATATGTTGGTTTTACATTTCATGAACGCGCTTCATCCGTGTTTCGTCAACGGCACGGAACGGTTTAACAGAAGAAAGAATTCCTATTAAAAGCGTTCTGTTGAAGTTTTCTTCAGTTATACAAGAAACTCTTATCCGAGATAGTACAACCTTAACCATTAGATTCAGAGAAAATGGTGATAACTTTGAATGTATATTAGGCGGCACTACACAGGAATTAGGGAATGCTAAGTCTAAGTTACTTTCCATGGAAAATGATCTTGCTGAAAAGAAATTACAGTTCCCAACAAAAACATGTTTAGCTCTTAAACGTTTAAATTTCAATAGAAAATCGTCAGTGAGTAACCTGTTGAAGATCGCATTATCAGTATTGCCGTCGCCAAACAGGTTCATTCATCGAAATCTTCCTTTTGGATTCGATTTTAGAAACCTGATTTGATAAAGCAGCCAAGTATTGGTCGAGAAATATTTCTCATAAACGATTCCATTTGCTTTTGTAAAGCCTAAAGAAAGAAAAACTAATGCAGAAAGGAAGAAGCTGTTGTTGATATTTTAAGAAAGGATATCAAGACTAGAATAGTTGTTTATATTGATGAGACCTGTCGTCTTAACGTTGCTTTGGTTCCAGAAAGACCGCCGTTGATGAAGCATGTTGTGAGTATGTAGATATCAGCGAGGAGAAAAAGGAATCTCGCCACACCGAATATGCTTCCACAAGGAAAAAACAAAAGTTACACAAAAGTTTGGTCATCCGCTTAAACCAGTGCATTTTAGGATTTTTCATACGTCTGTTCAGCTTCGAACAGGTCGTTGCAGTGTTGAGAACGTGACAATATTTGCAGTATGAATTGAAGTTATTTCATTTCTGTTCAAGGGGAGGAAGAAAATGTTTCAGGCAGCTGTTGGTATCTAAATAAAATCTTCACTTTTCTATTCGTACAAACGAAATTAAGATTCCCTCCTCTTGTCCAATAAGCATCATCAGATCATCTGAAAATAACAGCGACGACCTTGAGAACTACTTGCTTAGGTTTGATGTATTACTTGAAAAGAAAATAACATATGTTTGTGAAAGGTTACAGGTTACCAACAGGCTTCACGACAATAACAGCAGTATTTGGTTATCCTCAAGCGGCAAACAACTTACTCTCAAATTTTTAGCGTTCGATAATTTACGTGTAGACAAGAAGTTTGTAATGAAGGAAAGGGACCCATCTAAAGGTAAATTGACGATTAAAGTATTAGATAATGGCATTTGGATGCTTATGAAGGTCTTGGAAAAGAAAAGATTACAGTTAATGCCTCGGGTAACAGTATTTTATGAGATATGATATTTTCACTGTTAGTCAAAAACTCATGTGTGAATCATTTTATTACCCCAAACAATAACTGTGATGATTTTTTATGATGATTTTATTTTATTTTCTGTAGAAAATATATAAATAACACATGGGTTTGTGGGTAACAGTAAAAATATCATCCCGAGGAAAATACTGTTACCCGAGGCGTAGCCGAGGGTAACAGTTTTTTTACGAGGGATGATATTTTTACTGTTACTCACAAACCAATGTGTTATTTCTTTTATTACCCCGAACAAAAATACTGAGATGATCTAAAATTGTCAACTAAATCTAACTGTAACAAAAACAAAACTGTAACTGTAACAATAACTAAACTGTCCTTACCCTTTTAAGTTTTAAGTGTTACTTCACTGTAGGCTACATTGAGAAGTTTTCTTTTTCTTTATTCTTTAAGCAAGTGATGATATCTACAAATCATAAACATACAATAAGCTAGGTTTTTATTTAGGAAACAAAACACTAACCCATTTACACGGTTATTATCTGTGAAATCTGATCCTTCTGTTTCCAGAATATTCTTAGCATGGTTTTTGACAAAATAACGATGATATCCTATGTCCACCATATCTGTAAAGTTTCACTGATTAAATTTGTTAAATAATCCTTTGTTGCATGCTTAAATCGTCTGGATGTTCCAGTTTGACACATAATTATTTACATAATGTGGAGGCTATAAGACATCCCTTTCCTGGAGTAAGGCGGAGTTTACTATTATAAGCGTTTTTTTTAGCGCGAATGTTAAAGAGCGTCTGAGTGAACGCTGCTATAGTGAATGGAAAGGGACGTAAATATGCGAAATGTACTTTTATTTCTCCATCAGTTTTTATTTTAATAAAGAAAACTAATTATATCGCAATATTAGATCTACGTTGAATTGAAGTTATGTTTTCAAAGCAACTTATAGCATCACGAAACTATATGTGCGTGTCTCTACTGTATATTATAACGCTAATAATTGTGAAATTGTATACTTTTAGTTGCTTTGTATATTTATGCACTTACAAAACACATTATGTAATGACTATTATTAAGTGAATTTACATAAATTGTCGTCATTTGAGGTGAAGGCAACCCAATTTTTTTAAAGGGTTCAATCAATTACACCAATAAATAGTTTGTCTTGGGTAAAATAAAGACGACAACCCGTGTATGGTGGTCACCTGCCACAGTACCTAATAAAGTGCAATCTAAACTTGAGATGTACATGCTTCCGAATGTATCACCAATAATAAGTAATTGTAGGTAATCAATTACACCCCTAACGCATGTTACCTGTAATAATTAAACATGAAAAACAGTTCGCCCATAATCTGATAGAGTATAATTATATATCAATGACGACAACCAATATATGGAGGTTCATCTTTTTATACCCTTATACGATCATATAAAGTGTATAGCCTACCGGGTTAGACTGTAAACTGAATGATGTATCCCTAGAAAAGTGCATTGTTAAATGCAATTCTGACAGCCAGTATCTGGATGTAGACAATTAAGTTTAATGTCTGAATGTAAAATCATGTACTTTACTTGTATATTAACTTCATTTATTCTATTACGTGTATAGCCATTATATGAACCTTCTTTTTTACAAATAATGCAAGTTTAGGAATACTCAGTAGTGAACTTTTGATTCATAAATGAGGTTATGAAAATATTGACAATTCTGTTAACAACCAATATACGGATGTAAGGTCTGCGGGTTAAAAATTTTAAATCTACATGTATATACATTTACTTTACAATCTTCTGGTATAACATGTACTTAATAAGCTAAGATTACGTTAAGAACATGTAAATTTGGGTAAAAGGACAACCCGCTTTTGGAGGCCAACTGCCCTGATGCCTGACTGAAGTGCAGTACATAATTTAAGCTACAGTCTCACTTACATCCCGGCAAAGCCCCGGTAGACGTCCAGGTGATCTGGGAACGGCCACATACATCCATAACTCTGCCAGCAACGTCCCGGATGATCCTGGTACATCTGGCATTCGACCCCGGAAATAAAAAAAATTTTTAATATCACCGGGGTGGTCCGTGATAACCCGGGGAGTATAGCTTAATTTGCCCTGCCGGGAACGACCGGGGTAACACCGGGGAAGCACCATAGCTCTGTCGGCAAAAACCGGGTATGATCCGGGGTATGATATAGCCGGTAGAGCTACGTACGGCAGAGCCCTTGTGAATGCTGGCAGAGCCCCGGAGAATGCCAGCAGAGCCTCGGAGAATGCAGTCAGAGCCCCGGAGGATGACGATGGAGCTAAGGTTGATCCCGGTAGAACCCCGATAAAGTCCAGTTTGATTCCAAAAGAACCACGACAATTTGCGATGATTGCACTTGTTTGTTTACCCTTCCCATTTCCATTCTATCCAGTCTTGCGTAAGGATTTTTCAGAAAATCATTATGCATTACTGTTCTTTATATTAAATAAAATTATGTATTTGATCAATGTAATCATGTAATCATGTTCTCGCGCGTTTTCAATCCACTGGGATTCTAGCTTAGGGGGCTATGCCTGGATCGTCCTGGGCCCTGCCTGGATCGACCGGGGATCTGCATGGGTCAATCTAGGCTCTTCCAGCGTATAGGCGTACCGGGTCAGACTGTAAACTGATTAATTGATGTATCACTAGAAAAGTGCATTGTTAAATGCAATTCTGACAGCCAGTATCTGGATGTGGAGAAATCTTATGATCATGTATATTCACTTTATTTATTCTATTACGTGTTTAGCCATTTTATATAATAATGCAAACAAGGGCAAGTTTATGAATAGCGAACTTTTGAATTCATAAAATGAGGTTGTGAAAACAATTTGGGTAAAAGGACAACCGCTTTTGGAGGTCAACTGCTTCGATGCCTGACTGAAGTGCAATACATAACTTACATTTACATGTACTTGCTTTGGAAAAGGAGTGTTTATTACAACTAACACTGCATAAATTGGCTTGAATGTGGTTTGAATCGGTTAATAAGCATAAGATGGGGGGGGGGGGAGAATAAATGAAAACTTGTGGATTGAATCCATGGTTTATCCATAGACAAGTGTTTATGTCGGCATTTTAATGTCTCAATTTTCCCTTAATGTGTACTTCTTAAGACGGAAGAAGAAAACTGGAAAATACCGTTTAAAATCTAAATCAATATAATACTTGAACTATGTTGGTTTTCATCAGCAATGTCGACATGTGTGTATGTGTGTGTGCGTGCGCGCGTGTGTGCGTGTGTGTGCGCGTGTGTGTGTGTGAGTATCGTTTTTACTTTCAATGAATTTAAATACGTCCAATTGTAGACATTGCAGATTTTTAAATTACTAGGGAAAGTCATATGGAAACAATGACAACAAGCAAATGGATGTATGGTTGTGTTTTTGTATATAAAATCTTCTTGTATATATGTGCTTTATGAAATAAGATTACTAAAAGGACACGTTTGTAAAGATCCAATCATATACAACAACAATTATATATTTGAACGACAACCCACTTTTGGAGGTCACCTCCTTCGGTGATATATACGTACAGCATTTAGAGGTTATAACTTACACTGCTTAAACCTGCTTGAATCTCGTTTGAATGCGTTAATAAACATGAATGTAAAATAATAAGTTAGGAACTGATAGGGTTTATGAATGACGACAATAATTATTATCTACCTACATTTACTGAAGATTTTTTTATGACATGCAACTACATTAATAGCAGGTATAAATGTATCCAGTCAAATACAATAAATATAAATTTGCTTGGGTAAATCACACATGACGATAACCCATGTAAGGAGATCACTTGCTTCAGTGCCTGAATAAAAGTCTCTGAATAAAGTGCTGAACGTGTTGTCATATTTAATAAACAATAATTTAGGTTATCCCTTATACTGCCTAAATTGTTTCGAATGCCTTTTGATGTACCTGCAAGGTTTAGTGTATACTACCTTAAACGACAAATAATATATGGACGTCAACTTCCTTTTCTAATAATGAAATAAATATACCGTGTAATATAATGAAATCCGGTTGATAGAAGCAATGGTTTATCCGTAGAAAAAAAAACTTCAAATAATTGTATTGCCAAAGGCTTTGGTGACAAACCGCATCTAGATGTCTGATTTTCCTAAAATGTATACATATGTACGACTTAAAACGGAGGAAGATGAAAACTGGAAAAAAAAACGTTTAAAATTGATATCAATGTAAGACATGAACTATGTTGGCTTGAAACATCAATGACGATATGTATAAACATGCAAATTTTCAAATTTCTGGTGAATATGGGTCTGAAAAACAATATATGTATGACAGTATGTGTATATGTATGTTTTTTTGTTTTTTTTTGTAAAACAAAGACTACAACCCATGTTTAGTGGTCAGCTGCTTTAGTGCTTGAATAAAGTGCATTCACTTGTACTGCCTAAATCGGCTTATGTCTTAAATGCCTCTTTCACCAATACTCAAATAACAAAGAACGTGGCAGAATTCTTACAAAAAAGATGGTGTCAAGAACTCACGACAACCAATATATGGAGGCATAGATTTAGCTCCATGATGGAGGTGTTTTTTTTACCGCTTGTTCATCTTCATATAAAACGGTGCTTTAAAATCATTGAGTTTCTTCATTAAGCATGCTCGTTGTCTGGAAAAGTTTAAAAACAAGAATTTGTAACAGAGTTACCAACGTCCCCCGCCCCGGGAGTTTTATATGAAGCATAAAATTGTGCTATTTCAAAAAATTGAGGTATGGATCTCAGGACATTCAGTCCAAAATTATGATCAATGCTAGATCTGCAAATATAACAATAAATTTGTTAAAAAAATAAAATGAAACACGGAATTTAAAAATCTATCATGTTAAGCTTTGACCTCTAAGTGTGACCTTGACCTGGGAGGTAGGGGAGCAGGTGTTGTGCATGACATAACGTCTTATTATTGAGACTATTTGTGCCAAGTACTTTCAAAATCCCTTAATCTATGAAGAAGTAATGGACGGGACAAAAAATATACCAAATAACAGACTCTGTTAACCTTTGACCTCTAAGTGTGACCTTGACCTTAAGAGGTAGGGGTGCAGGTGTTGTACCTGACATATCGGCTTATTATTGTGACTATTTGTGCCAAGTATTTACAAAAGTCCTTCATAGATAAGAAAGTTATGGACCGGACACGACATATACCCTCAAATAGACAATGTTGACCTTGAATGTGCAAGTACGACCTTGACTCGAAGGTAGGGGTCTGGTTGTTGCGCATGACACATCGTCTTATTATAACAAACATTTGTGCCAAGTAATTTCAAATTCCTTTGATAAATGACAAAGTTATGGACCGGACACGAAATATACCCTGTAACAGACTATGTTACTATTTGACCACCAAGTGTGACCTTGACCTTGAATGTAGGTGACTGGTTTTTGCACATGACACATCGTCTGATTATTGTGAACAATTATGGCAAGTATTTACTTAATCCCTTCATAGATAAGAAAGTTATGGACCGGACACCACATATACCCTCAAATAGACAATGTTAACCTTGAATGAGCAAGTACGACCTTGACCCTGAAGGTACGGGTCTGGTTGTTGCGCATGACACATCGTCTTATTATAACAAACATTTGTGCCAAGTAATTTCAAATTCCTTTCATAAATGACAAAGTTATGGACCGGACACGAAATATACCCTGTAACAGACTATGTTAATATTTGACCTCCAAGTGTGACCTTGACCTTAAAGGTAGGTGACTGGTTTTTGCGCATGACACATTGTCTGATTATTGTGAACAATTATGGCAAGTATTTACAAAATCCCTTCATAGATAAGAAAGTTATGGACCGGACACCACATATACCCTCAAATAGGCAATGTTGACCTTGAATGAGCAAGTGTGACCTTGACCCTGGAGGTAGGGGTCTGGTTGTTGCGCATGACACATCGTCTTATTATAATAAACATTTGTGCCAAGTTATTTCAAATTCCTTTCATAAATGACAAAGTTATGGACCGGACACGAAAGTGACGGACGGACAGACGGACGGACAGACAGACGGACGGAGCCTATTTCTATATCCCCCTTTTTTTCTTCGAAAAGGCGGGGGACAACAAACATCACGGTGCATATCCATATCGGTACCCTCTTTGCGAAATCTGCTCAAACGGTACCCTCTCTGAACATACACAGGTCATTCTCTGCTAAAATCAAACCAGCGATGGATAACAATCCAGTAAAATTTCATTGTAATAAGGAAAGGAGGTATGACATGTAGAAAAGATGTATACCACGGAACACTAGAATGTTTAAATTATGTGCTGATTTGTCATGTGCCCGATTTTCATGTTCACAACTTCACAATAAGCTACAAAAAATCGACATGTCTTGTCTCGTCCATCACCTCGACATGTATTGTTCGGGCTGAAATGAACCTGTGGCTTGATTATATATGCATCATACATAATATTTAATATGTTCATATTCATATCATCTTCCGACAAATGGCAGTATATAATTATTGTCAAAAATAAATGAAAAATTCATAAAAACACCCTACTTTCGGTTTTGCAGCGGCACGGGCTACCTGTCTTCATTTGAATTTTTATATCACAAGTACCCTCTCATTTTTTAACACATAGGTACCCACAAAGCGCGACATGGAACAAAAACAACTTATATTTCATGCTTTACAGTGTTTTACTATAATATATTAGATATTATATTCTGATAAACCACTAGTGAAATTTAAACAAGAGGGCCATGATGGCCCTGAAGTCGCTCATCTGTACATAGGTCCCCAGGGCGGTGCCAGTTTAAACCTCTTGGTTTTTATTTGAAAAAACTTGGAAGACACTCACTAGAAGATGTTTCATGCCAAATATCTAAGCTCTAGCTCTTTGGGTTTTTTTTTAAAAGAAGATATTTAAAGTTTTTTCTTTCGGTTGCCATGGCAACCAGAGTTCTGTATGGAATTAAATTCTTTGAACAAATTTTAAAGGTGACCACCAAAGGAACATTCCTGTGAAGTTTGGATGAAATTGGCTTAGTGGTGTTAACCATTTATGAGGAGATGTCATTTAAATTAAAAAGTTTATGGATGGATGGACGCCGGACGGCGCTGGACAAAAAGTGATCACAAAAGATGAGCTAAAAATATAATTTTCACCGTAGCCGGACTACTTTTTTCCCCTCATTGCACCCAATTACAAAGAAACACAGTTATTTCCCAACAATAGACATGCATGTGAACACAACAACAACAAATAATATAAAAAGGGTGTCTGCTACACTTAAAACAGAAATATTGCAGAAGAATATTATTGTTCAGGCTAGTATCTGATGATTTATTTGACATGGAAAATAATCAAAAAGATTCAAGATGATGATGTTTGTAGACAAAATTTTCCAAAGCTAGGGCAGTGTTGACAAAAAATAATGCAACAGCTAAAAAAAATTGGTTTGGGGAACAAGCCAAAGAAGCAGAAATCCTTGATGATTCTACATTAAACAAAATGTATGACTCAAAAACCTTAGGTACGAGTAACCAAAGAGCCTTATTTGAACTCAATATTTCGGAATGTCGGAATCTTTGCTGGGAAGATGTTCAACTGTGTTTGGATGAGGCCGATGGCACAGAGTATCTGATCTATGATAAGGAACGACAAACTAAAACAAGGACAGGGGCTTAGTTACGCGACTCTAGTTACCTGTACAGATATAAATTATTGTTTCATTTCTTTTTAAAGTTATCCAATAAATATTAAGCCAAGTATATTGTAAAATACTGAAAAAATATTAAAGCCATCATGTAACACATCACCATTTTGCAACACTGTATTTCTAAATTCTTTAAATTGCCTTTAAACTTCTTTAAAAATTATGCGCAAGTTTACTATAAATTAATAACAAAATCTATTATCCTAAAAAAAATATTAAAATAATCTTATCAGATTAATATTTTAGGTTAAATGAAATAACAGTTTCAAAACAAAACAACAGCTATCCAGACTGGGACTTGAACCCAGGTCTTCTGCTAAAAGAAGCAGATATTCTAATCACTGAACTATCTGGATGACTAGTTGATGTTTTGTCTTACACTGTAATATTATAAGTTTAAACAGGATATTTTTTTCAGTGTATGATAGAAAGTTTATTTCAAAGTGACCATCAGATTTTCAACATTTTTCACAAGTGTTTATTTTCATTTTTACATGTAAGAACGAAATTTCTTACATTTTTTTGCTGTGGAAAGTGAATTATATTTGATAATTTTCACAGTGAAATTATAATTGATAATTTTCACTGTAGCCGAGACTATAATTGAATGCGGATGAAAATAATATTTCATAACTAAATGGAATTATCAAAGCAGGAATAAATTCAGTATAACAGTGATGTTCTGAACAATCATGAAGAACTCATGACGTTACGCAGCAAAACAGAAAAGATGACTTAAAATCACTAAAATAGCAAATGAAATATATAGGAAATTTGTATGTTTTGCATGTAAGATTGAAATATATTTTCACTCGTGAACACCCAGCAGCAATTATATTTATACCAGTGATTTTTTTTTTGCAATTTCCTAAAGGGGAAAATATAGCATGATAAATCACAAAAGGGGAAAATAAAAGTCCAACCACTGAATAATGGAATTTACCCATACATTTTTATAAAAATTTCAATTTTTAATTCAATTTAGCATGCATGGTACTAGCAGAGGCTATCTAAAGGGACAGCTTTCTGTCTTCAGCTGATATATTTATGGGCGGTAGGGGAAACAGCCTTTATTCCACTGTAAAATACAGGGAAACAGAAATGTCGAATGACACATATGCCCCCCTTCCTAGCCCTTGACTCACATTATTGGTTATTTTATTATAGAAACTTGCCATAAATGGGTACATGGAAGTGTTCAATTATGGAAAAAAGGAAAATAATGAAGACTTTGTGATAAATAATTTTCAAGATAATGAGCTGAAACCATTTCTGACATTTAAGGCAACTGTGACATTGACCTTTAGACCTAGTGACCCAAAATCAATAGGGGTCATCTATCATATATGACCAATCACTATGTGAAATATAGATTTTGTGATGTATAGTTTCAAGATAATCAGCGAAACCATTCTGACATTTAAGGCCCCTATGACCTTGATCTTTAACCTAGTGACCCCAAAAATCAATAGGGGTCCATCTACTAGTTATGACCAATCACTATGTTATACAGTCAAACGTGTATTAAGCGAGGGAAACACCCAAAACGGTCGCTAAATGAAACGGTCTCTTAAGACAGTCAGCATGATATAAAAGTCAAAATTTATAAATGACAGCTTTCTTATGCGGTGGGAATGTTTTTCAACTTCGTTGTTGTGGCCAAGTATGAAGACAATACACCAAGAAATAAAAAAGTTATGATCCAGGTACAAGTTTTCGAACGGCAACGGCAACGCCGACCTGACTATAACAATACCTCTACTTTTTTTTTCAAAAAAAAAAAAGTCGAGCTAAAAATCAATAGGAGTCATCTGCTGGTCATGACCAATCATCATTCCAAGTTCGAAGTTTCTAGGCCTAAGCGTTCTTTAGTTATTGATCGGAAATCGTTTTTACCTACAAGGTCAATGTGACCTTGACCCCTTAACCCCAAAATCAATAGGGGTCATCTGCTGGTCATGAACAATTCACCATACCAAGTTTGAAGTTCCTAGGCCTAAGGGTTCTTTAGTTATTGATCGGAAACCGTTTTTACCGTAAGAAGTCAATGTGACCTTGACCTTTGACCCTTGACCCCAAAATCAATAGGGTCATCTACTGATCATGACCAATCACCATATCAAGTTTGAAGTTCCTAGGCCTAAGGGTTCTTAGTTATTGATCGGAAACCGTTTTTTTTGCTTAACAAGGGTCAATGTGACCTTGACCTTTGACCCCTTGACCCCAAAATCAATAGGGGTCATCTACTGGTCATGACAAATCACCATACCAACGTTTGAAGTTCCTAGACCTAAGGGTGTTTTTAGTTATCACTCGGAAACCATTTGGTCTACGGACCGACGGACAGACAAGTGCAAAGCAATATACCCCCTCTTCTTCGAAGTGGGGGCATAATAAGTTAGTTACTGTTAAAGACAAAAAATATCCAAAATCTTCAGGCAGAAGCATAATCATTTTTAAGAGTAAAAGAATATAAAACAAGAGGGCCATGATGGCCCTGAGGTCGCTCACCTGTATATAGGTCCCCCCCCCACCCCGGGGCCAATTTTTACCCAAGGGCTTTTATTTGTTTATTTGAACAGACTTGGTAGACACCCATAAGAAGATGTTTCATGCTAAACTCTAATCTAAGTTTCTAGCTCATTGGGTTTTTTAAAAGAAGATTTTTAAAGTTTTTACTATACACATATAGTTTAAAACAATGACACCCCTGGGGCAGGGCCAGTTTTGACCCCCGGCTTTTATTTGAACAAAACTTTGTAGATATTTACTTAAAGATGTTTCATGCTTAATATCTAAACTCTAGCTATTTGGGTTTTTTCAAAGAAGATTTTTTAAGTTTTTGCTATTATAACACATATAAGGAAAATCAATGACCCCCCCCCCCCCCGGGCGAGGCCAGTTTTGACCCCAGGGCTTTTATTTGAACATACTTCGTAGACACCCATTAGAACATGTTTCATGCTAAAATATCTTAGCTCTAGCTCTTTGGGTTCTTTAAAAAAAGATTTTTAAAGTTTTTTACTATATGCATATAGGGAAAATCTATGACCCCCTGGGGCGGGGTCAATTTTGACCCCAGGGCTTTTATTTGAACAAAACTTGGTAGACATTCACTAGAAGATGTTTCATGCCAAATATCTAAGCTCTAGCTCTTATGGTTCTTTAAAAGAAGATTTTTTAAGTTTTTACTATATGCATATAGGGAAAATCAATGACCCCCGGGGCGGGGGGCCAATTTTGACCCCAGGGCTTTAATTTGAACAAACTTGGTAGACACTCACTAGAATATGTTTCATGCTTAATATCTTAGCTTTAGCTCTTTGGTTCTTTAAAAGAAGATTTTTTTAAGTTTTTACTATATGCATAAAGGAAAATCTATGACCCCCGGGGCGGGGCCAATTTTGACCCCAGGGCTTTTATTTGAACAAACTTGGTAGACATTCACTAGAAGATGTTTTCATGCTTAATATCTAAGCTCTAGCTCTTACGGTTCTTTAAAAGAAGATTTTTTAAGTTTTTACTATATGCATATAGGGAAAATCAATGACCCCCCCGGGGCGGGGCCAATTTTGACCCCAGGGCTTTAATTTGAACAAACTTGGTAGACACTCACTAGAACATGTTTCATGCTTAATATCTTAGCTCTAGCTCTTACGGTTCTTTAAAAGAAGATTTTTTAAGTTTTTACTATATGCATATAGGGAAAATCTATGACCCCCCGGGGCGGGGCCAATTTTGACCCCAGGGCTTTTATTTGAACAAACTTGGTAGACATTCACTAGAAGATGTTTCATGCTTAATATCTAAGCTCTAGCTCTTAAGGTTCTTTAAAAGAAGATTTTTTTAAGTTTTACTATATGCATATAGGGAAAATCAATGACCCCCGGGCGGGGCCAATTTTGACCCCAGGGCTTTTATTTGAACAAACTTGGTAGACATTCACTAGAAGATGTTTCATGCCTAATATCTAAGCTCTAGCTCTTACGGTTCTTTAAAAGAAGAATTTTTCAGTTTTTACTATATGCATATAGGGAAAATCAATGACCCCCTGGGGCGGGGCCAATTTTGACCCCAGGGCTTTTATTTGAACAAACTTGGTAGACACCTTCTAGAAGATGTTTCATGTCAAATATCTAAGCTCTAGCTCTTAGGGTTGTTTAAAAGAAGATATTTAAAGATTTTTCTTTCGGTTGCCATGGCAACCAGAGTTCTGCATGGAATTAAATTCTTTGAACAATTTTTAAAGGTGACCACCAAAGGAACATTCCTGTGAAGTTTGGATGAAATTGGCTCAGTGGTTTATGAGGAGATGTCATTTAAAGCAAAAGTTTACGGACGGACGCCGGACGGACGGACCGACGGACGCCGGACGAAAAGCGATCACAAAAGCTCACCCTGTCACTTTGTGACAGGTGAGCTAATAAAACAGAGGCTCATAATCAAAAATAAAAATAAAGATACCAAAAATAATGGAAGAAACTGCCTTAGCTTTTACTGATTTTGCTTCTTGCTGTTTGACAAAAAAAATTTTCTACAAAATTCCCTGACTTTTGGTTATTTTTCAAGTTACCCTGACCAATTTCAATATTCCCTGACTTTTCCCTGACCGTGGGAACCCTGAATTAAGAGTGGCATTACATATAAACTGGAAATTAAACTATTGACTTGATAATTATTCTTGCAGGACAATCAAGTTTTTGCTTGTTAGCTCACCTGTCCAGCCGTCTGTCCATAAACTTTTACTTTAAACAACATCTCCTCTTAAACTGCTAAGCCAATTCCATCTAAACTTCACAGGAATGTTCCTTAGGTAGTCAACTTTAAAAATTGTTCAAAGAATTATATTATAAGCAGAACTCTGGTTGTCATGGCAACAAGGAAACAAGAGCCACCGCCAGACGGGGGCAACGCTCGACTTTTAATTTTCTCTAAAAGCAAACAAAGGAATGTTTGAACAAAATCTTTTGAATATACTAATTTTTATATATATATATATATATATATATATATATATATAAATATATATAAACAGAAACACGCAATTCTATAAATAGAAACACGCACATATGTGGTGTTGACATGTGGTTGTGACATGTGGTATCACATGGTGGTGTCACATTGTGTCATGTGTGGTGATACATGGTGGTGATCTGGCTGGTGCATGTGGTGTCACGTGGTGGTGACATGCAGTGTTTTTTTTCTTTATATAACTACTACCCTAAAACGGTACCATTCCCAATAGAAAATAGACATTAAAATTCCCAATTTCCAATGTTAAATTCCCAAAATGGCTGTTCAAAATGCCCACAAGGCCAAGTGATTTTTCTAAAATCATTTAAATCCAACATATTCATATAAATCACCACTCAATAGTTCTATTTTGACAGTAGAAGCTGTTAGCTATCTTTAATTATGATGTCTAATCTCATTTGTAGCTGAAAAAATGCATTAAAAAAATTCCCAATTTTAGTCAAATAACGCATTTTTTTCCCAATCAGTCTGGTACCGGCACCATTCCCAAAGTCGAGAAAAAAAACGCTGACATGTGAAGTCGATGGTGGTGACACTGGTGTCACATGGTGGTGTCATGTTGTGGTGACATGTGGTGTGGTCATGTGGTGTCATGTTGTGGTGACATGTGGAGTCACATGGTGGTGTCATGTTATGGTGACATGTGGTGGAGTCATGTGGTGGATTGTGTGGAGTCACGTGGTGGAGTCATGTGGTGGTGTCACAAGGTGGTGACATGTGGTGAAGTCATGTGCTGGTGGTGTCAAGTGCTGGTGGTGTCACATGGTGGTGACAAGGTCTTGTCTTAAGTATGTTTTGTTCTAATATAAGTTGATCCCTTCAATAATAGCAAAGTTACAGCCAGTTACAGCAAAAACAATGAAACGGTCAAGGTCATTAATGAGTGAAGGTCAAGGTCTGTCTGATTATTTTTAAGTGTTATCCTAGAAGATTATTATGTTAAAGTTTGAAGACAATCCATTCAAAAATAACAATGTTACAGCCAATAATAGCCAAAAAAATTAAAATTCAATAATTTGACCTTCAAAGTCAAGGTCATTTATGAGTGAAGGTCAAGGTCTGTCAAGTTATTTTTAAGGGATATCCTTGAAGATTATTATGTTCAAGTTTGAAGACAATCCATTCAAAAATAACAAAGTTACAGTCAATAACAGCATGAACAAGCAAAATTTGGACTTTTAACCTTGAAGGTCAAACGCTCATTCTCACTAATAAGTAACAATGTATTATTTTACATGTCGCAAGACCTGCCCAAACAAATGTGATGAAATTCAGAAGATTTATATCCACCATATATGAGCACATACTTACGCGCAATAAAATCGTTTACGAAGCAAATTCAATACCGCGATATGTCTCTTTTGACATGCCACTAAACTTATTAAAAGATGCCTACGTGATCTGTCGCAAATGCATTTAACAACTTAGGGTGCTCTTAAATATAACCTGCTTGAATAAAGCATAGGTTCAGACTAGAACATTACCCTGTATGGACTGTCTTACTAAAATAGATACTTATTGTTTCATTTCGGCTTTCATTTAAAAAAAAAAAAATAATTAATTGTTTTGTCTTCAAATATATAATACCTACGTTACACCAACCTAGTTATAACCAAATTTTAACACAAATGTAAAATAAACCAAACATTTTTTAATTTCTTTTGTCAGTAAAAAGTCTTTTTTTATAATTGAGACCTAAAATTTAGTCAAATATAATAAAAGGTACCTTATTTGTGTGTGTTTTCATTTTTACAAACATTTTATTTAAAAAAATGCAATACCTACGTGATATGCCTTCAATTAAACAAATAACGAAATACAGTAGATATTACATCTTTTAATTAAATATATGTTGTAATAATGTGATTCTAACTTATATTTTTTATTTCCAAAAGTTGCCAAAATAAAATGTGAGCATAGCAAAGTGCTATAAATGCCTACGTTATTGATGCCTACGTGATGGCTTTATCGAATTCTTTTGAGTACGAATGGATTTTATTAAAATAATTACGTCACAACTATATTTACGTCATCAAGTTCATGGAATTCAACAAGGAGAAAAAGTGAATCCACATTTTATTCGCTATATTTATATGTTATTTGGAGACATTTATATGTTATTTGGAGACATTTTTGGCAATATTTGGATAATCGGAGGTAAGTAATTGTTTAAGTGTCAAACTAAGATTATTTCTGTTATTTGTATAACGTATGCATTGATGTTTATTGTCTGTTTAAAGTTAACATTTTTAATCGCATATTTTAGCTAAAAATGTCGTATAAATATGATGATACCTACGTTACCGGTACGTAACGTAGGTATCATACCATTTACTTTAGAAAAAAAAACTTAAATAAATGAGAGAAAGATAAAATTTGCTTTTCGCGTCTTTCTTATATGTTATATTATCTTATATAAAGTAAATATAACTGACTATAGTTTAGGAATATAGCAATAAAAGATGTTTGTTTTTTCATATGTTTTTTATTTTTCTACATTAAGCACTTACATACTGATTTTGTCGTCTAAAAATGTAGGATCTCATTGAATTATGTAAAAATGTATCTATTCAAAGTATTAGATGAATAATTATTATATAATTGTTAAAAGGGTATGGCCATAATTTTTCTATTTCCTAGAGAATATCATAATATCAATAGTAACGTAAACATCATATTTACGTCACTTTTCTATTGCAGTATGGGGAAGACTAGAGCTGAGATACAGCGGGAATATAGAGAGAGAAAAAAGGCTAAGTTGGGAGAAGAATTCATGAAAAAGGAAAGAGAACGAGTTAGGAACTACTATGTACCAGCTTCTGAGCTGAGCAATAAGAAAAGGAAAGAGAGAAATGAAAAGATGAAAATAAAGAATCGAAGGGCAAGAGCAAAGGCGAAGGAACTATTAGAAAGGCTTCAGATAAGAGAATCAAGTGATGACGGACCAAGTGACAGTGGCTATGGAAGTGTAAATGAACCAGGCCCGAGTCTAAATGAACCAATGATAGTTAGTTTGCCAGCTATAAGAGTTGCAGCTAGAGCTAATGGGGCAAAGAAAAAAAAGGCAAGGGCGTTAGCAAGGGCTTATCATTCTATTAGAGTGTTGCAGAAAAAGAAGATTGATCTTGAACGTAAGTTAAAAACAAAGTCAAAGCAAGTAGAACGAATGAAAAAGAAGATAATTTTGAAAAACAAAATACCAAAAACACCTGAGTGTACTCAAAAAGCTGTTGCAACAACTCCTAGAAGCAAAACAAAACATGAAATTGAACAACTGCAACTAACGCCAAAGAGGAAAAGATTTGTAGCCAAAAAGTTGCTTTTGACCAACGTTTTATTAGCCGAGATAAAGAAAACTAAAGAAAGCAGTTCCAAGAAAAAGAGAAGAGTAATACATAATGTAGTTGCTGGCAAAATAACTAAGAAATATAGATGCATGAGAATAGTTAGTGAAGAAACAGGCTTATCAAGAACGGCATTGTTGAAATGCAAGTCAAAATGCATTGTTGTTCAGCGAGAACAGAGAAAAAGCATATCAAAGAAACAGGCTTATTAGCTTGAAGAAGTTTTGTCAAGAGAAGATAATTGTTGAGTTCAACCCGGAAAAGCTGATGTTAAAAAAGGGAGACAAACGAAAGTGCTTACAGACTATATGCAAAATTTGTGGCAAAAGTTTTCTGCAGAGAACCCTGATCTTAAAATGTCGTTATCAACGTTTTGTCGCCTAAGGCCTCGTCACATTTTACTTGCAAGATTTATTTCACGTAATGCGTGTCAGTGCCTCAAACACCAGAACATGTCTTTAAAGGTACAGGCTATGAGAAAAGTTGGAATAAGAATAAGTGAAAACCCTGAGAAAATATGTGAACACAAAGACGCCATTGCACAAATATTTAACCAAGTACATAATGATGTGTTAAAACAATTAAATATAGAGTGTGGAAAAAAGTTGAAGTAGAAAGCAAGTTGAAAAAAACAATGGTGGTAGAAACGGAATTAGGACGCCAAGAGTTTATTAATCTCATAGAAAAAGAAGTGCTTGAGTTCTGCGAACATGTTAAAAGGGTAAGAGCCCAATATCATCAGCTGAAAACAAACAAAGATAAACTTCAAAATGATCACGTTATAGTACAAATGGACTTTGCGGAGAATTACTCCTGTCGCACTGTAGACGAAGTACAGACCGCATACTGGTCTTTGACTCCTGTAATACTACACCCTACGGTTGTTTACTTCAAGGAAGAATCCACACTGAGACACAAGAGCTTAATGGTGGTCTCAAATACATTAACGCATTCCGCAAGCTCAGTTTCAGCGTTCATGGATCATATTGTTCCTGAAATAAAAAAGTTAGTACCTGAAGTAAAACATATCCATTATTGGACTGATAGTCCCTCGAGCCAATATAGGAACCGCTTTATTTTCAACGTTATTGGCAATCACAGAGAAAAGTATGGTTGTACAGCACAATGGAACTATTTTGAAGCCGGACACGGCAAAAGTGCGTGCGACGGCTTAGGCGGAACAACTAAACGAATGGCTGATGAAGCTACCCGACAAGGAAACGTTCTCATTCAGAGTGCAGAAAATTTTTACAATTGGGCAAGTAAGTCGAGTATGAAAGAAGTTAAATTCTTGTATGTGGACAAAAAAGAATGTGAGCAAATGCAAGCGCTCTTTTCGAGCTTGAATATTAAATCAATTCGTAATACAATGAAGCTCCATGCTATTGCTTTTGATTCCACAAAGCAAGGGATTGTTAAAACTAGAGAGACGTCTTGTTATTGTGATACATGCTGCACTGGGAAGTTTTGCCAAAGCTGAACAGAAGAGAAGTTTGTTGCTTCGGGGGACATACTTAATAAACGCAGTGAGGTAAATTCAAATGTAAATGTAGAGCAAGGCAGTTTAAATTCCAATGATAGATCACAAGAGTTCAGCATTCAAGTGAAATATCTAGAAAGAACAATGATCATGGTGTCACAGATATGACAAATACAGAGAAATCGCCAGAAGCCTTTACTAAAGAAGCTGAAGTGTCACACGCAACTGTCTTCAGTAGTTTAAAACCTGGTCTCTACTTTGCAGTCCTGTACGAAAGAAAAGCTTATGTAGCTAAAAGTTAAGGAAATGTTCAGATGGCCGAAGAGAGAAGATATTATTTGGATAGAACAGGACAATATAATAACCAGGATCGATGCACCCAAAGAGACAGGCAAATCAAAGAGACTGTTCAAAGTGGGAGAAGATGTACAATCCATACTTAGTAATTTTTCTGGTTGAAATAACTGTTAGATGAGAACATCAGCAATAAAACTTTGATTTAGTCTATACTGCTCACTAGGCAAAACTTAAAATGCGTATACGAGGCTCTAGACTTTAGAAGATACCTACGTTACTTATCTACATTACTATTTTGTAAGAGTAATATTTTAAAAGTGTACTCATTACTTTTAAAATACCTAAGACCTAATACTATCATGAATTACAATAAGTTCTTTTTTAAGTTTAAACAGTTTACATGTAAATCGTTTAAAAGTGTTATTGTTATAATTGAAAGGTAACGTAAAATAAAATATTTCGTTAGACTTATTATGAAATTCAAATATAGGAGCAGTATGCCAAATCATTATCAAAGACATACTATTATTCTATAAGTATTAATAGTAAGAATTGTTGTTGTTTTTTTACTTAAATAATACTGAATTTTTGCTAGTTAATCAAGTTTTTGTTCTATTTGTACTTTGGTATTTGACCGATACCTACGTTATTTTAACCGATGTTGAGAATATTCGTTGTAAGAATTTGCATAGATGATATTATCTGTTTTATTAAAGTGTTTTATGTTAGTTGTTCCTTCTGTTGGTATAAAAGTAGTAAAAAATCACAAAACAATGTTGCATAGAGTTGATTTATCATGTATAAAAAAACAAGTTATTTCAGTTAAATAAATTTCAATTTGTTTTTGGTGTGTTACTTCTGTGTTGTCAACTCCACTCATCACATAAGTGATCATTTAAGTATAACGACTTTTCATATAAATGTTTATGCTTATTGCACTGATTTAGAAATATAACTTTACTTTAAAGAATGTATCAATACATACAATCGCAATTAAGCAAAGTGACCGTTTATAGTAACGTAGAAATCAGCAAATGTTTGGTATGTTATAACAGTTGACCACCATTTTGGTAAAATCTCTGTCATGTACAGAAAAATATATAATTAATGTTAGAAATAGATATAGTTATGTCACCAATAAATGATAAGAGTGAATTAAAACCTTAAATCATTTACTCATTTGATTATTCAACAGTTTCTTATTAATGAGAATCTGCGCAAAGTCATTTATGGATGAAGGTCAAGGTTAGTGTGGTCTACTGAAAGGTCTTGTCCCAAGGGTTGTTGTGGCCGAGTATGAAGACAATACACCAAGAAGTAAGACTAGTATAGCAATACCTCTACTTTTTTTTTTCAAAAAAAAAAAAGTCAAGGTAAAAACTGCTCTTTAAAAATTGAATTTAGATATAGATATGTTTTGTTTTTTTTAAAATTATTTTGCTAGGGCAATTAATGCACCATTATTTTTAAGTATTTAAACCTGTTAGTCAATCTCATGATGATATATTTTCAAATGTTATGGCAATATTTTTACTCCTGAAGTTTTGTCAATTAAAGTAACTCACCGGTATTACACTTCCTATGTTGTCATCTGTCACAAGCATCACAAGTGACTGCCTCCTGCCGTTTCCTCACAACACTTCCACAGTCTATACAATAATCAGTCATTTCAATAACCAACAAATAACTTAAGATTTGACTAGTTTTGATGCCCATTCTGCTAGTTTTGGGGCCAATTTGACTAGTTTTGGAGTCGATTCGACTAGTTTTGGGGCCGATTTTACTTTTAACAAGAGATGTCGGTAGGACAGCACGCTCGACTATTCTAAGTGCTTGATAGTAAAAGAGCCTTAATAATGTTAAATATTCTAAGTTCACAAAAGGGCTAATTTTTTTTTATAAAATATAAAATTGTCCCAAAAAAGGCACAAACCCCTCAGTAGTTATGGAGATAACAGCTTAGAAGCAAAACTTTACCATGAATTTTTTAAGTTGAAAAAGGGAAGAAAAATCAGCCTAAATGCAAGATAGAATTATGGATCTTTGTCAGTGACCTACAATTCTGACCCTAAATGCATATGTGAAGTTTTAAATAAATATCTTTAATAGTTATTCAGATATGTAAAACTTGCATTTAAACATTAACCAAGAGACTAAGTAGAAAAGGGGATATGAATCAGCCTTAATGCAAGATAGAGTTATGGAACTTGGTCAGTGACATACAATTATGACCCTCAAATTATGACCCTAAGTACATGTGTAAAGTTTCAAGTAAAAATCTTTGAAGACCTTTAACCTTTAACCAAAATCTCTAAGTTTCAAAGGGGCAAATAATTCTGCAAATATTGCAGACAGAAATGCAATTTTGCAAAATGATGTACATTGTTACTATAAAAAAGTATTGTAAATTTCAATTGAATATCTCAAGCAATAATTGAGATATTTGACTTTACAAAAAAACTTTAACCAAAATTTCTAAGTTTCAAAGGGGCATAATTCTGTCAATATTGTAGGCAGAGTTATCCAACTTGTCAATCTGATGTACCTTGTTACTATAAATAAGTATTGTAAGTTTCAATTGAATATCTCAAGCAATAATTGAGATATTTGACTTAACAAAAAATGTAACCAAAATTTCTAAGTTAAAAAGGGGCATAATTCTGTCAATATTATAGGCAGAGTTATCCTACTTGTCAATCTGATGTACCTTATTACTATAAATAAGTATTGTAAGTTTCAATTGAATATCTCAAACAATAATTGAGATATTTGTCTTTACAAAAAACTTTAACCAAAATTTCTAAGTTAAAAAGGGGCATAATTCTGTCAATATTGAAGGTAGAGTTATCCAACTTGTCAATCTGATGTACCTTGTTACTATAAATAAGTATTGTAAGTTTCAATTGAATATCTCAAGCAATAATTGAGATATTTGACTTTACAAAAAACTTTAACCAACGCAGACGCCGACGCGGACGCTGACGCCGGGGCGACTACAATAGCTCTCATATTCTTCGAATAGTCGAGCTAAAAATTGTTGTGTGGTCGATTTGACTAATTTTGAGGCCGATTCGACTGATTTTGAGCCGATTTGACTTGGGGCCGATCTGACTTTGGGCGGATTTAACTAGTTTGCATGAGATTAGATACAATGTAGTATAGTACTCCCCTCAGGTACCGCGTCCTTGCCCATTCCGATGTAATTAGAAAATTTGTTTCTTTACACATTGAATGCCACCAAATACTGTTTCCATCTAATTTATTCATTAAAGTGAAAGTGGAAGTGCTGATTTTTGTGAATTTGGATAGAATTTTTTTCATTTCAAATAAATTCTGTCATTGATAGGAAAATCCAAAGCTGCCGGTGTGTGTTAAAAATACTTCTTTATTTTACCCCATATTTAACATTTAAACTTATAATTTCATGTTCCGACA